GGATGCATAGCTAGTAATCGGAAAGACTATGGCCTGAATCAGATGCACCTTAGTCCTCAAACTGGCATCATTACTCCTCAATAATTTGGAGAGGTCTCTAACTGTAGATTTTCCCAGTGCAATGTGTCTCCTTATTTCCCGACTGCTGGTACCGAGAGTGTTAATTGTAGATCCAAGGAAGAAGTTGTAAACAGTTTCAATTTCCTCTGCACCTGCCATCACTGAACAAAGAGCACACCTCCTTACTGCTCATCAGAGAACTCTTTAAACAAAGAAAACTACCCAGGAACATCGTGCCCACAGATGGGCACGAGGAAGCTGACTGACCCGTCACTGCCCAGACGGCCTCCTCCACCTGTGTGGGGCTCTCGGTGATGTTGTAGATGATGACGTCACACTCCATCAGCCGCAAGAGGAGGTCTTCTCGAGAGATGGTCTGAAAAAGAGTAATGACAGCACTTGGTCATGAGAAAGGCGCTCCGGTGGCACAGCAGATCAAGCACTGATTTGCCGACCAAAAGGTCAAGAGTTCAAAGCCACCAGCGACTCTGCAGGAGAGGGACGTGCTATCTGCTTTCGTCAAAGCATCAGTCTTGGACGCCTGCGGGGTGGTTCTGCTCTGTCCTGTGGGTCCTGTGTGCCAGGGCCCAAGGCGAGGGGTTCGCTTTGTTCGCTGTTTGGAATTCTTACCGGAACTGACTCTTACCTCTTTCCCCCCGGAGCAGTTGCAGGTTCAAGCACAGACACCCCATTTCTCTCCCAATTCTGAGTCCCTTCACTCCCAGACATGTTTCTGTCCTGGACTGAGCGTGAAGGCAGGCAGGCTCTGTTCAGCCTTCACCCTGCTTCAGTCTGCCCACAGCAGGCAGTGTCAGTGGGCACTACCCCAGGACGCCTGGAGGGGCCCAGATACAGAGATGACCCAGAAAGGGGGTGGGGGGAGGGAGTGGGTGATGGAAAGAACCTCAGACACAGGTCCAGACGAAAGAGGGTGGTGCAGCCAGGCTCAGCCCCTTACATCCACCTGTCAAAGGTATAAGGCCTCGTTCAGCGCTGCCTGGTCCTGCTGAGAATGCGGCCGGAACGTATGCAGACATGGGTGGCCTTGACCAGAGCTGGGACGAGGTCTGTGCGCCCAGTCACTGCCCAGCACACGTGGGGGGCACAGAGGGGAGTCTGAGAGATGGAGCTCAGTCGGCCACTCACTCAGTCACTGACTCTGAGGCGTGTCCTGGATGTGTGCTGTTTAGCAGATAACTCCAGGCCAGTGTGGACAACAGGGAGCTCTGCCAGCCTAGTGGTAGGGAGCTGCCTGCAATCTCAAAGACATGTGGTTCAAATCCTCCAGCTGCTCTGTGGGAGAAAGTTGGGCAACCTCCTCCCGTGAATTTACAGCCTCTGAAGACCTGCTGGTGGGTCAAATATGTATGAGTCACCTATGGCACACAACTGTAAGTGCTGACAACCACTCCGGTGGCTTAATGGTAAGGAGTTGCACTGCCAACACAAAGGCATGTGGTTCGAATCCACCAGTTGCTCCAAGAAAAAAAGATGGGCAGTCTCTCTCCTTGTAATTTACTGGCTCTGAAAACCAGCAATGGGTTGTTTCCAAGTTAACAGTCCATAGCAGTAAGTGTGGACAAGGAAACCAAGCCCTGGTGGTACAGTGGATGAAATGTTAGACTGTTACCTGAAAAGTCTGTGGTTCCAACCCCCAGCCGGTCCTGCGAAGAAAGATGAGGTAATCTACTTCAGGAAGGACTTACAGCCTTGGAAACGCTGTGGGCAGCTCTGCTCTGCCCATAGGGTCACCGTAAGTCGGAACCCCAGCAAAGCGGGGTTTAATATACAGGACATCTTCAGAATACATTAGAAAAGGCAATTTGGGCGGTGGAGGGAAGGCAATTTTCCCTCAATGGGAAAGCTCTAAGAAGGTACCCACTCTCGGGCACAAGGCAATCAGGGACTATGTGGCCTCTGTCCATCCTGAGCGGGACGCACCTGTGCAGTGTGCACTCCCCCTCCCGCGGGCTGCACACCGCAGCTGCAGGTGAGAAGGGCTGGCATGGGGTACAGGACGCACCTGTGCAGTGAGCAACACCACCCCCGGCCTCACACCGCAGGTGTACAGGACACACCTGTGCAGTGTCGCTCTTTCTGTCTAAGACGTTCTGTCTTTCTCTATTTAGTCTGTCTAAGCTGTTTGGTCTTTCCGTCTCTAGCTGTTCAGCCTTTCTGTGTAAACTGCGGTTCCTTCTGTCTTTAAGCTGTTCGGCCTTTCTGTGTGAAATGTTTGTCTTTCTTCCTTTAAGCTGTCAGTCTTTCCGTCTCTATGCTGTACTGTCTCTAACTGCTCAGCCTTTCCATCTGCACTGTGGCCTCTTCTGTCTCTCAGCGGGTCTGTCTTTCTGTGTAGACTGTTACGTCTTTCTATGTAAGCTGCACAATCTCTCTGTCTATGCTGCCTCCACGTACTTCCCCTCGCATTCTCCTCCTGTGACTGCCCTTTGCTCCCCATGGGCTTGCCCTGCTCACTCTCCTGGAAGCCCAGCCTGGGCCGGACAGCACCAGTGCAGCCACTACCCCCAAAGGCGACTCGTCCACAGCCCTCTGCCCTGACGGTGGCTCAGGTCTGGTGGTGTGTGAAGACTAGGGAGAAGGAGAGAGCAGGCTGCTGGTGGATAATCCCAAAGAAGGTGGGCAGGGCCCCTAAATCATCCCACCACGTTTACTGAGAGCCTGCCAGGTGCCCTGTGACGTGCAAAGCCGTGCAAAGGGAGGGAGTGAGGCAGATCCAGCCTCTAGGAGCCCACAGTTGGGTGATGAGCACAGAGCACTGACAGCAAGTGACACAGGCAGGTGAAGCATGCCTCCTGAACACCAGAGCAGAGCCCAGGAGCCACAGCAGGAGGGGCTGCCTGGAGGAGGGGGCTTCTGAGTTAGCACTTTAAAGGCCAAAAGGACTGGTGAGGAAAAGGTACAGCTGTATCTTATACTGTGAACACAAACAGGGCTGTGGGTGTGGAGTCAAGGCTTCGTGGCTTTCCTAGCCCTTGACTTTGACTTGCCACAAGGATGGCAGGATCACACACATTGAGCGTGTTAGTCTATTCACAAGGGGAGTGGCTAGTCTCAGTAAGTGGATTCAGCTGCAGATCGGGAAGGTCAGCACCAAGAAGAGGAAGCACTGCATGCCCTTCAAGGCTGGAGATTCCTGCGCCAGCCAACACGGGATCGACACGAGAGCAGCAACAGCCTTAGAAGAGAACCTGAGACCAGTATGAGCCAGATGTGACAGAGACTGCTGCCTCACAGAGCCAGCCAGAGGCCTTCACTCCGGCTTGCTCGAGGATCAAGGGAAGACTCCATAACTGGAACGACTAAGGGAACTTTGTAACACTGATCTGAACTACGAAGCTCAAGGTCAAAAGGCCTTCAGCCATACTTGGGTGGCTGTCTGGACATGGAGAGGTTGTATCCAGCTGCCAACCTGAATTATAGCCTGTTAACTTCCCCAGTACACCTGATAACCATGAGTATATTGTCAGAGGCCTGACTTACTTGCATAGCAAGATTAGCCCTGTACTGTGAAACCAGCAAGACTAACTCCATCTTGGCTAGAAAATCTGCTTGGCAATATACAACTCAAAGAAGTAGGATGTTAATGAGTAAGAGTGACCAAAGGTCTCAGACCTTAGGGAATGTTATCTACCAAAACTCTTTGTTTCTTAGAGCTCACAATAAGGTATGCTGGAAACTATCTTTGTATTGTGCTGAGGTCTGTGAGAGTTAATGTTTGACCTGAGAGTCAACATCTCGGATGGAAAGAGATAATGCGATGGCTACTGCAGAGGTGCTTCTAAAAACCTATATATGCTTTTCAAAAATAAAAGTCTTTTGCTATTCGTCATCAACGGGTAGTCTCTCTGAGTCTTCATTCAATCCTCGTCCCTCCTCTCGCGGAGCTGGTTTGATATATTGAGGCTGGACCTCGATAGTATATGTACACATACTGGTCTTGCAAGTTGCTGTGTAGTCCTTGTAATGGATTTCAGACCTAGCAGAGCTGTGAGCCTGGCGTTGGGTGGTGTTAGAATTAGTAGAATTAGGTACAGGAGTGCGGGAGACCGTGTCTGACTGTACAGGGATTACTTTTGTACTGTGGATGCTGTTGTGACAATTCCCCTTTGTGGCATCAGAAGTCAGACCTGGCCACCCTCTTTTTATAGGGGGTTCAGAGAGCCTACATTCCTTTCACAGGGGGTTCAGAGAGCCTACACTCTTTTCACAGGGGATTCAGAGAGCAGGGGAGGAACTGGCTCAGAGCAGAGCACCCCTCCCAGAGCTGTCTGAGAGGCTTTGTCAGAAGGAGGGAACACTGCACCCAGTAAGAGAATAACACAGTCCCCTGACTCCAGGTGCCCCAGGCGTTTTCAGAGGCTGGTTTTCCTAAAGCAGGTGGCAAAGCCTCTCTTCTGGGGTGCCTCTAAGTGGATCTGAACCGCCAACCTCTTAGCCAGAGATCCCACCTTTACTGTCAGCCAAAGCCCTGACTCACAGAGTATGCCTCCACTGCAAACTCAGGCTGGGAGCTTTGGGGCTTGGCCAGCGTGCCCACAATCTGGAATGTGCCTTCCTTGAGTTTGGAGGAGGCGGCTTCCAGCATGGCTGACCTGGCTTCATCTTCTTCCTCCTCCTCTTCTGTGATTTCCTCCAGGGAAGCCCCGACAACACAGTTAGACAGGAACTGCAAGACAAAAGAACATCCCCAGAGGCTCAGAACCAGCAGTCTGGGCAGGTGCTGTGGATGGAAAGAACCCCCCTCCCCAAGATAGAGCACTGGCCAGACCAGCCTCGACTCACAGACCCCTGCAGGACAGAGCAGGACAGAGCAGGACCACCCACAGGACCTCCAAGGCTGAGTTAGTGATGGGAGCTGACAGTCCCGCCAACCACATAACCACTGAGTCACCAGGACCCCTTCCAGAAATATTGGTAAACTCTAAGCTCTAGCCAGCTTGGGAAGGGGTCTTCTCTTGTGTTGTGGAGAACTGTTGGTATAGGGTCTGTCGTAAATTGTCTCCTCTGAGATGACAAAGAGTAAGGCAGCAAATACAAACCTAGTGAGCTCATGCCCGTCTATCAGCAAAATCCAGGCAGAAACAAGAGAGGACAAAGCGAGAAGGGACGTGCTAACCTCAGTTCTGTCACCTCGGTCACGGGCTCCAACCTCTCTCCACTGGACACAGAGTACAAGCCACACTTCTCACATGGGCCCCGCACAACTGACCCATACAGCACGGCCACAGCACACACTTCCCACAGGGTCTGGAGCAGGGCCCCAGCTACTCTCCACACCCATCCTCCCAAACACAAATGCTAGGAATGACATTTTACAACAGCTCTTTACTGTAAAAGTTGATTTGTGTTATTCCCTTTTGTCTGTAAAATGAACACACACCTGCGCCAGTTATGATGTTTTTAATTGCTTCCTATGAACCAATAGTAGTGGGAAGTATAAACGTATGTATTCATCCACTCATCTAATCACCAAGGCATCACAAGCAGCTTGTAGCCGATTTGGGTCTCCAAGGCTGCGAGTCACACGGTAGAGGAGGGTCCAGCTCTCCCTTACAGAGCTCTGGTGAATGGGAATCACCAGAAAGGTGTGTCCTCCAGGTTGGCAGGAGTGTGCCCTGAGAACTTGTAGGTGTACACTAGAGATGGATGCATGTCTTGTGATTTGTTGTCATTCTTGTTAGATCCTGTCATATAGAGGTACAACACCCATCTGTTTGTTTCTTGGGGAATGATCTGCATGTCGCCAATTACTTTATATATTAGGTGTGGGTATAGGCATGTTGATTATTTGCTTCTATTAATACAGCACTTGTCTGTCAGTCAGTTGCACTGGTGTAGCTTGTGGGATGCTGTATTGTAATTGATGTTATATGCTGTCGAGTTGACTGTGACTTACAGCGACTCTATGCACTGCAGCTCATAACCCTGCTCTATCTCACTGTTTCTGAAACACCCACCATCAATACCCCACTTACTTCTGGGGCAGAGGCATCTGACCACCACTGACTCCGCCAAGGGGAAGTGTCCCCGATAACAACATTAACAGATCAAGACTGTTTCCTATGAGGTCAGACACATCCCCAAACCTCAACTCCTTGCACCTGCTTCTATCAGTTCTAATACCAATCCTGGCACCTCCCAGTTCTAACACCAGATTTCCCCGCAGATGTTTCTGATCTACTATAGCACCTGCTAACCTGTAGCAAAGGCCACAAAGAAGCCAGAGATGATACTCACATTTACAAGGCTTATTAGGGTAACGGGTTACAACTCAAGATTGTATCATCTGCATAACACAGATTGACGAATCTTCCTCCAATCCTGATGCCGCATTCTTCTTCATAAAGCCTAGCATCTCAAATGATATGTTCAGCATATAAATTGAAAAGGTATGGAGAAAGGATACAACATCCCTGACACAGTTTTCTCGATATTGAACCAGGCAGTGTTCCCTTCCTGTGTTCAGACAATGGCTTCTTGGTTGAGGTACAGGTTTCACAATGGCACAATCAAGTATTCTGGGACTCCCATTCTCCTCAATATTAGTCACAATTTATTATGATCCACACACTCAAATGTCTTTACATAGTCAATAAAACACAAATAGATATCTTTCTGGTACTCTGCCTTCAGCCAAGATCCATTTGACATCAGCAATGCTATCCCTAGTGCCATGGCCTCTTCTGAATCCATCTTGTATTTCTAGTAAGTCTCTGGCCATGTACTATTCTGCTTGCATTCGGATAATCTTCAGCAAGATTTTACTTGCATGTGACAATAATTACATTGTTCAATAATTTCCACATTCTGATGGGTCATCTCTTCCAGTCAGTTGACCAGGTGACTGTCCTCCAGATTTCTTGGCACAATCTAGTGAACACATCCGAGAATACATCTCTTTGATGAAATATGTCACTTTATTCCATCAGTTCCTAGGACCTTAATTTTTTTGCCAATTCCTTCAGAGCAGCTTGAACTTCATACTTTATTACCATTGGTTCTTGATGACATGATAATTCTTAAAAAAGGTTCTGTGTCAGTTAATTCTTTTTGTTACAGTGATTCTGTGTGTTCATTCAGTCCATCTTCTTTTGATGCTTCCTGGATCATTCAAGATTTTTCCCATAGCACCTTCAGTTCTGTAACTTGAGGCTTGAATTTGTTCTTCAGTTTGTTGAGCTTGAGAAATGCCAAGCGAGTTCTTCCCTTTTGATTTTCTGACTCTGGCTCTTTTCGCGTTTCATTATAATGCTTTAATTTGTCTTCACGAGCTGCCCTTTATGATCTTCTGTTCAATTCATTTACTTCCTCATTTCTTCCCTTTGCTTTGGCTTCTTGGCATTCTTTTCCA